ATTCAACATAATTATTTTCATTGAATAATAACTAAATTACGAGCTGTCTTGAAAAGAACAAACAAATTGAAACAAATTGAGAAGGAAATCCTGATGAAGTGCTTGTAGACTTTTACTTTTAATAACAATATAGTAAGCTTTAATTCAACATGAAAAATCATTTTCTCCAACTCCAGAATTTCAGATAATTTCACTTTAGGCTGCATTCCTATTCAGCCTGGCACAAACAAAAACATTTCAATTCTCACAACTCTAGTAAACAATAAACATTGGCTGAAATTTGCCTTGCCTTTAAATTTTTTACTTTCCTTTGCAAAACTCTATTGCATTTAGGTAGTGCTTGACATTATCTAAGAGTTGATTAATGGTACATCAACATCACCTTATCTTTAAAATTGTTACAAAAGCATTGCTTTGATAAAAAATGCACTTTACCTCGCGTGTGAATGCTGTTGAGGTAACTAACTGAAAGATGAAATACTTTTCAGAAAGAGACAGCCTTGGTAGTCCAGAACTTGCATTTCTGTCACTCTAAAAGAAAACAAGATTCCACCAAATCACTGGGTGTGATTGGCATTCCTTAATTCTTTAGTTATCTCTTGAATAAAATTCATTTTCAAAAAGACTCAAAGATTCAAAAAGACAAAAATACTCGTTATTTTTAATCACCTCAACAACTAATTTATTCTTAAAAAGATGACCCTGAAGGTCATAAACAATTCGATGCAATAAATCTAGATATTTGTTCTAGATGAGCAAGTTGTTGTGAGGCCAATATCATTCCGTTACTTAAAAAAATTTAGCAAGAGAATTTTTGAAGATTTAGGAAGTTAAATGGGGAGAAAATAACGAAGCATGAGGAAAATTGATAAAAATGAAAATTGGTTAGATACAGCATCAAAAAATGGCCATATTCATATTTTACTTAGAAGATTCTTTAATATTTTGCAAAAAAAGAAAAAAATGACTTGCAGTATATCTTTGCAGTTATTCTGTACTCACCAAAACATCTATAAATATTTGTGCAAATGGGTTCTTTGCAAATGGCTGTGTTTTGTACATTTCATGTAACAGAAACAGCATTGTTATTTGTTGATACTGGTGAGATAGTAAATCTGGATTCTGGAGCCACACAAGCTACAAATGACACAAAAAGTGAACTAATACATTATTTTCATAATGAAACATTGATTTGCTCTTCATTTCATTAAAATTTGACAAACAACATATTTCTTATGAAATTTCTGTTATTTCTATCATAACACCATTTACACCCTGACAAAAGTGGTTATTTACTGGTGCAATGAATTTATTGATGCAATAAGGTTTTAAAACATGAAATGATGTCGATAGAAACTATACTTAAGAGGTACAGATTGACAATTACTTGTAATGACAGTTCCTTTAATTATTGAATGAGTATCCTTGTTTTAAGCAGGTGCTGGAAGTGTCAATAGAGGGGTACTTTTGAGAATTTATTTCAAATATAATGAATCCCTAGCTATAAAAAATTTATACAATATTCATGTTAAATTGCATGAAATACAGTTTACTCCTCATAAAGTCAAACTACTGGTTATAGTCACATAAAATTTAGACCCAAATATGCAAACCATCATATTTAGCTTCATTTGTCAAACCCCCTTTACAGTCACAAGTTTTCAAACAACATTAACCAGAGTCTACAGTACCAACTCTTTCAATGAATAAGATCCATTATCATGGAGTCCAGCTCAAAATCTCTGTTTAAACTCCAACAAATCAAACTTAAAAGCTACTACATTCCTATTATTGGCTTTTATTTGAAAAATTAAAGGGTATGGGACACCTACGATTGCTGTTCCAACTCTGAAGTAATCATTTGAGCCAAAGTGATGATGCAAAGCATTGGCCAATGTTTCAAATGATGAAGAGCCTGCAGCTGCATCTTCTGTCAGTATGCTGCAACATAAAGAACTTTTAAATAAATTCATGTTAATAATTGTAAATAGCTTGGCCTCATTTTTATTGTTTATTGTCTTCCCTTTCAGGTTAGCTTCCAGGGTCGAATCTATGTAACTTGCACCAAAGATATCTGGCATGGACTTCACAATTCCCTTGGCGAACTGGCGTAAGATGAAGAAAATACCATATCTTGCCATGAGGGTGGATAGGTTTGCTGCCTGGTTTGGGCCAGCGTATGACTTATGGCAATCGCATGCAATTTTTGAGCTGAGTTGTGGACACAGACAAAAAACTAAGTAACCAATCAAAAGAAATTACTGAATTTTTGCAATGTTTGGAGAAATACGGCGAGATAACAGGACTATGGTGCCCCCAGAAGTCAGTTCTAGTAACCATTCTCGTTTGCAGTAGTAAACATTTCTGAGACTGAGTATTCGTCGTGCCCTGTTGTATCATTTCAAGGGACTTTTAAGGTAAGTTACAAGCAGAGTTACTTAATTACACAAACCTCATCAACGTCGAGAGCTCTGGAGGAGAAAGCGTCATTATTCTTTCTTTGTTTTTATCATGCTTTTACATCGATTTTGGCAATTTTGGCAATTCCTACCATATTGAGAAAAATGCAAACGAGGCTCACGAAAAGACTTGTGCTTCAACACGATGGCACAAACAATCTGCATAGAGCGCTCAATGCTGAGATATAATCAAAGCTATTTTGTATCCTAAAACATTGTTTTCGGTAACCCAGTCATTGGAACGATAAAACATTTGATAGAAAATCAAGACTCATTATTATTAAAATGACTTTTAATCACAAAGATATAGAATATTGGATTTCTCGCAGAGTTCTAAAGCGGGTTTGTTCCGGATAAAACACAGTGCAAAACACTCTTTACGCACGCTAAGAAAGGTCTATCTAGAAAGATATTAACAAGAATTTCCAAAAAACAACTTTCGTATAAGGAACATATATTTGAATTAAAAATTAGCCTTGAAAGGCAAGAACATCATAAGAAAGTTAAATTTTTAACAAACTTGTAACAAAATATTGTAGCAACATAACAATTTAAACAAAACTGACATTTTTTCTTTATTCTATTTAAAACTATTATAGCGGCATTGTGTCAAGTTATTTACAATTCAATAGACAAAATTACATTTTCAATGCAGGTTGCTCGATACTGGAGTGTTAGAAATAAAATTCAATTTCGATATTATATGTCAAATACAACTATTATTTTCAGAGGCAGAAGTAGAGGGTTACCCTGGTGCCCTGGTGTGATAATTACCCTGTTGTGATAATTACCCTGGTGCCCCATTTACTTGGGTATATCTGTCAAATTTGCTTCAGGATTCGTGGAAATTGTAGAAAGTTCTCATCAGAAGTTAGTAAAAAACAGTGAAATTTAAAAGGATGTTTAACCGATTTATAACATTTGGAAAATAATTGAAAATATTGAAATGTACAATTTCTTTGTCATAACTGAAAGCATTTAGGAAGGTGACCTTCAGCATTCCAAGCCGTTTAATAGAGGTGTTCCCCAAAAAGTTAAAACGAAGGTTTAAAAAAAACCTGGTTATATCGGACCAAGCTATTAAAGTCTATTAGGGTAAGGTCGATTAAAATTTGTTCAATTACTTATATAAAAGTATAAATAACATAAAGAAATCTAAAAGATTCATATATCTTGAGTTATTCATTCAAAATGAGAGTAGTTGCCCTCAGGGAGTCACTCATAGCTACTAAAAACTGGTTGAAAAATGTACACCTTTAGATATCAGTACAAACTGAAGAGGGGAGGCGTTTCTGGGGTCTTTTAGTCCATACCAAGATTCGAAAGGGTGTCTGAACAATTATCTATTATTCTACTTTAAGATGAAATAGCATCAGTTTTCTATCAAACTCTTCCTTGACATCAGTTTTCTGTTAAATTTTTTCCCCTCCCACTCCTTTGTCTCCACACAAAAATCTTCTGACCATACTAAATTAGACCACAAAAATAACAAGCATGCTGCTAGCTTTTGTTGCTTTCTCAGCTTTTAATGAAGGCATTGGTTCCACTTCTAGCAATGGAATGCAGCATGAGCAGCTTAGCACCAGAGTCCTTCATAAAATCATCCAACCTAGCCACGCTATAAAAGTTTAAATTCATTCAACATCAATCCAATAAATTTTTCATTGCCCAAAACAGGCTTTCACCCATTAAAAGTCATGAAGCCAAGAGCCATTTCCAAATTGCCTCAGTTTGGATTCAAGCCGCCATTTTTATATGCCTCTTCAATGACAATAACCGAGATGCTTGCAATTCATTCCCATCTGTAGATACTGAGCTTCTGCTCTGTCAGCGTAGATACAAAGCTGACATCTGCGTTTGAGTTGAATGCAACAATATCAAGCACTGGTTCCGATGATTGGATTTTCTGCCTTACTGCACCAGTTCTGCCATTCCAGAGCACCGTCTATTAATGAGAACAGACACTGTGATACTGAATACATAATAAAACACAATTTGAAGGAAATTCGTTATCAATACTGAAAGACTGTGACGTTGAAATACAATGACAAGAATACCTAAGGTTCCTCAATATTAATCTGACATGAGTATAAAAAGTCATACAGAGAAATTCCATGTTTCCTTAAACATCTGCCATCATCTTAAGAAGCAACCTCGTTCACTACCAAGCTTTCCAAGCTGTACCACTATCTTTTTTTAAACTATACAGTGTAATCCACACTGACAGATTATACAGATACAGACATATCCTCTGTTTTTACAAGAAGTAAACAAGATGAATTTACGTGCCAGTGTGATTCTGGCTACGTAGGACGCACAACCCAAAGATTGGGGGATAGGATAAAACAGCATGTTCCGTCCAACATAAGAAACAAAACTGCCCCTAAAAGATAACAGCCTCCTCGATCTTGTAGGTCTAGAAACACTGTTAGAACAAGTGATTCTGCCATCGGTCAACATCTTTTAGACAACCCAGATTATGCAAAACTCTATAATGAACACATGTTTCGGATAATTGGCAGAGCCCGGTCGTCCTTCCATCTAGCAGTTTTGGAGTCGATCTACATAAAAACGAAAAAGCCGCCATTGTGTAGAACAGAAGGAGTTCGTTTTCTCTCTTGGACTCCAGTGGTAATTTTTTTTCTTTAGGCTCGCGGCACTGATTGGTGAAACATACCGGTCTTGTGCTTGCGTTTTTCTGATTGGCCTATTTCGATCCACAACTGGGTATATATTTTCCATCGTGTTCTTTCGAAACCATATTCTGACGTTTTATGCTCTGAGGAGTGTCAGACGAAAAAGCTTTTAGTATGTCGTAAAATGTTTGCTTTTTTCAAAGCCATTTTCAAATTCTGTACCGCAAAAAATTTGTTCATATATCATAAAGCAACACAGTAAAGTTGACTCACCGTGGAAGTGGCCTGGTCACCAGTAGCCCCATACAATACGTCATCGTAGCTGAACAAGGCTGAGCGGGATAGCACTTTGCTTACGCTGCTTCCAATAAATTGGGCGGAAGGTCTATTGGGAAGCGGATTTGTGATTCCAAGGTTAGTCAGACTATACACCTGCAAGAAGAACGTGAAATCAGTTTTCGGAAATAAATATTTCTATAGGAGTTTTCGATCTTTAGTGGAAAACACTTTCGTGTCTAAGCAAATTTTTATTTGTAAATATTGAAGATTTTTTGTATCTTTATGGAAGAATTCGAAACGTCTGAGAACCGAAAAAGAAAACAAAAGAAAAAGCTGCGTAAGAACAAAAGTTGCGAAAGAATGACCACAACAGTTAGTATAAATAACAAGACGTTTTCGTCTCAATAACATACCTGGTACCTCAAATTCGGAAATTTCACTGAAGGGCGATATGATAGAAGACACTTCCTTGAAACTTCGTCGACAGCCAACCCACAAAGTGGCCCTTGAATGATTGAATAGATTCAAGATTAAAACCTAGATCAAACTGTTCAGCAAGTTTTATACTATGGACAAATAAAGTCATCAAGAATATATATTTCTCATGAAAAGCTTAAAAGAAAATCTCTTTTCCTCAGTCAGTCGTACAAAGTGCAGTTTTAACTGAATTTTTAGGCTGCATTGTAAGAAGAAAATTGAATTGGTAGTTAGATTGCACACCCCTAGAAAAACTATACTTAAAATTGAAGAACAAAATCTTTTAAAACCTCACTTAAAGATTTACTCGTTGTACTAAGATTAAAATGAATAAAAAAAGGAGCCTCACCTGAAGAAACATTAAATGGACGATTGTAAAACCCATCTGTATCCCGAAATTCCCAGAAAACTGGTCGGTTGAGTGAACAAGTGAGAAGGCCTTTTGGGCTGATGGATAAAAAGAAAATATACATCCTAAATTTCTCCAGAAACAAGGCAATAATCCTTCATGAATACAAGTTCAGAGCAAGCAAAATTAATGAAACTGAGTTCACATTTTCCATTTGAAATATCCCTGATCACCAAGTGATATAGAACAGATTGTAAATCATGATTTAATATCAAAACATATATTACATTAAGAAAACAACAAAGATTCTGTGACATGAATGAGATATAAACTAATTTTACGTTCTATCTGTCTTCTTTCACTTTATTAGCAGCATTCTTTTATCTACCTTGTAATGCAGCACCAAATGCAGACAATGTTGCGAAACACTGCTCATATTGGTCAGTTCTAATTTATATATTATTGTGAAAACAAAATAGCTTCTGGCTCATAGATCTCTAATTTTGAAGTATAGAAAGCCACTTTGCCAAAAATTATGATTTCAAGCACATCAAAATTGATCAAAAATGATTACCCGACGCCACCATTTGAAACATCAGATAGGTAAACCATTGATATTACGGGACAAGACGCATCTTGCGAGGCTTGAAAGATGTTGCAAGGCTCATCAGTGTTACGGATGTCAAACACGTGGCACTGACCGTTTTGTAACCCAGCGAATACGTAATTCGTGTCTGTGCTTTTCCACTGACAGGACCAAACGGAAGCAGGGCATGTGTAGCTAAATGCAAACCAAATATCAACAGTTAATATAAATGAGCGCGACAAAAATTTTACAGAGAGGTTAACAGACAAAGTGTTTAGTAAGGCTAGAGAGAATGTTGATGTTAATAAAACAACATACCTTAGAACGACCATACTGCTAGTCATGCTTGTGATCTTGAGAGTTTTGTCCATTGATGCGCTAAGAAGCAGTCGATCACCGCTTGAATTAAAACAGATATCGCGGATGCAGCTTTGATGCACTGGAACATATTCGCTGGTCCGTGATTCAAGAGAGCTCACCTGAAACCAGTTGTAAAAGAGATCTATGGAACTGCTATGTACTGAAGAAGGGCGATCGATAGAAGGTCTGGAGAGGAGTGCAATGAGTGGGTGAATGCTCATAGTAATGTTTGCGCAGAGAAAGATGTACAAAAAACTATTGACATCAGAGGCAAGTGACTAGGTTTTAAGCAATCCAACTTTTTCAATAGGTACCCTCTTAGAACAACGGAAAAGTATCAATTTAGACATGGTTCCCCTTCCTACCCTTGCTCCAAACCTTATCTTTAAATGCATCGAAGACCTTGCATATATCTCTTTACGGACGCACAAGTACACGCCCCTGTGCCGAACTGAACGTCAAACTGAATGGCACAATAATCTGATTTTTCTTAACATGCTGTGAATTAAATAATGCGTTTTTTACCTTGGCAATACCATAACCAGGAAACATTTGATTCGGTGAAGGTTTTGAGGCAACCATCATTGCATGGGTTTTGTCATAGGCCATAACACGGGCTTTGCTCTGCAGAAGATGAGAGAATTACACATCATTTAACGTTCTTTAAATAAATGCTAGAGCGTTTAAAGGTGCAAAAGGAAAGTGTATTCTTTATTAAACGATGGAAATTCTAATGACACCATCTGTGCACGCTGAATCGAACAATTTTCGGGTGTTTTTCATCTAACCCGAAACGCGTGTATGGTAGGTTGCTTTTGACACTGTATTGTATCATTTTAATCGCATTTTACGTGGGTATCTTGCTACAAACTTTAGAACGATGTCAGAGAATTGGCGCTATTAAGTCAAACTGTTGGTGATAATCCTTGACACCACACAGTCAGCAAGGCAGCGGACGAGCAAGGAAGAAGACAGGTAGACAAGCAGTACAGGACCCAGGATGAGGCTTCCCGTACAGCTATGAAACTTTTGCAGACGTTTTGTGACCTCTGGATGGTCAATCAAGCATCCATAACGACAAAGCAGCTTTGTGATGACGCCACAGAATAAATTTTATTAAATTTCTAAATTCGAACGTATAATTGAACGTATTTTTGGTCGCATATTAAGAATGCAACGAAAGAGCATCAGCCAATCAGCCATCTCAACATTTTCATGTCCAAACTTATCTAGTTGGGTTCATCTCAAAAATTTATCTAACAGCAGTGAACAAGTCTCAAATGAAGCAAGTTCCTTTTGTGTATACGGGGTCTTAACTTGGATCGGAATTAATTTTAATTAATTTTCCTTAATAAAGACGCATTTATTTTTCTACAAAAATTTGTTGTGCATTGGACCCTTGAATTCAAAAAAACTCTCAAAAGGGATCGCAAAAGCGACTCACCATAAATTCTAAATTTGCCTTCATTTCAAATTTACAGCTTCCTCCGTCAGACACTCGAACCCCTCTGCCAATTTGATGGAGGAGTATACAAGCAAACCAAAACCCGAGTATTTGAAATATCAACGAAACTTGAAACGCTCAACTTTTTACAATGGGTAGCAAGAAAGCCCCAACTTTTTAGTCAAGTGGAGAGAGTTTCATTGTGAAAAAGCGATTTAACTACTTTAAAACTAATGGGACTTAAATTATTTACGACGTAAAAAGTTGCACAATGACCAACAGAAAATAAAGGAAAGTATTCAGAAACATTGACAGTTTTTCTGCCTACGATAAAAACCATAGAAAACTTTTTCAATAAAATTTAATCGGGTCACAAAATTACAAAATAAAAATGCAAGGTAAAGAGGCAAAGCTTAAGAGAAGAAAAGGGAAGAAGATGAAGAGGAAGGTGAAGGTGAAGAGGGAGAAGAAGAAAAGGGAGGAGAAGAAGAAGAGGGAGAAGAAGGAGAAGAAGGAGGAGAAGGAGAAGAAGGAGAAGGAGGAGGAGGAGAAGGAGAAGAGGGAGGAGAAGGAGAAGAAAGAGAAGGAGGAGAAGAAGGAGAAGAAGGAGGAGAAGAAGGAGGAGGAGAAGAAGGAGAAGAAGGAGGAGAAGAAGAAGGAGGAGAAGAAGGAGAAGAAGGCGAAGAAAGAGAAGAAGATGATGGAGGAGCAGGAGAAGGAGGAGAAGAAGAAGGAGGAGAAGGAGAAGGAGGAGAAGGAGAAAGAGGAGAAGAAGGAGGAGAAGAAGGAGAAGAAGGAGGAGAAGAAGGAGAAGAAGGAGAAGAAGGAGAAGGAGAAGAAGGAGAAGGAGGAGGAGGAGAAGGAGAAGAAGGAGGAGAAGGAGAAGAAAGAGAAGAAGGAGAAGAAGGAGGAGAAGGCGAAGAAAGAGAAGAAGCAGATGGAGGAGCAGGAGAAGGAGGAGAAGAAGAAGGAGGAGAAGAAGGAGAAGAAGAAGGAGGAGAAGAAGGAGGAGAAGAAGGAGGAGAAGAAGGAGGAGAAGAAGGAGGAGGAGAAGATGGAGAAGAAGAAGAAGAAGGCGAAGAAGAAGAAGGAGAAGGTGAAGAAGGAGAAGAAGGCGAAGAAGGAGAAGAAGAAGAAGAAGGCGAAGAAGGTGAAGAAGGAGAACAATTGAAAGAAAAGATTGTTAATTTGTAAATTTACTTTTTGATATCATTCATGTATCTTCGACAACAGTCTTCAAAGATGGTTTAATGGTTAGATTCCAAGTCAAACTTTATTTTAACGGAAAATGCTCAAATCAGATGACATTCTGTTGTGTCTTTAAAAGCAGCAAAGTACATTGCGTAAATCATCCCCCCCCCTGACATTGTATATATCTGAAAGTAAACAAAAATCCTTCTTATATCAATTTGTTGATATCAACTTACAAAGAAGCTCCTAGACTGGAGACGATAACTGATAACAATGATAAGGTACATAGATTTATAAGATGTGTGTAATAGAATATCCGTCAATGATTTTTCGATAAGAACTTTACAACCAAACAAGAGATCGCATTCAAGATTTTGTATCTTCGAATGAAAATTTCGAGCACAGATAGGAGCAATCGAAATGCAGAAATAAAGCGAGTTTACGGCTGTTAGGAAACATTCCTCCAACTGCGAATGGAGATTAGCCGTTTTAGACCACAATGGATAGAGAGGCGACAATAGAATCAGTGTTCGAAACTTGGGGACGTCAAGGGGCAGTTAACGGCCCCCAAAAGTTGCAAAAATCCATTTTTTAAACAAAGCTCTATCTGTATATCTTGCTACTATGATGAATGATAGGAAGAAGTAACCTTTAACAACAAATTTGAATGTTTTGCTATGTTTGGTCAAAATAGATAGATAAAGGCAAGAAAGTAACAAGAAAAACAAGGTGAACTTCTGCAGTAACCAGCTATTGCGGTTCCTTGCTTGTGTAACAATTAGCAAAATTTTTGAAGCCTGGACCTCGTTTACTTGAGCCCAGATCCAGACGCGTTGACGCAAGCAAGACTTCGCTGTGATCTGATTCAAACTTGTCAATTTCTATTCCAAACAGGTACAGATAGCAAATCTATATATCTTTCGATCTACGAGTTTTAATGTTGACGCAAGGCTTATCTGTACCAGTTTGGGTGGGAACATAATTGGATCTGACACCGGGCGCGTTTCAATTTGGATCCGACCTCGTGCAATAGCAGTCTCGGTATTTTGAGGGCGGAAAATAGGCGATATTTGACACGATAATCTGCAAAACTTCGAAAACTGGCAACACAGGCCCATGCATCGGTCTGTTCGTGTAGTTTGTATGTAACCTGTTTGTCATGAAGTTTGTAATAAGAACGGTTCGTTACGTCAACACTGGCAGCGATTGATGCTTGTGAATAAAAAGGACCGTCCTTTTACCACTTTTATTCAAATAGCCTTTGTCACAACAATAGCTTTGATATAAACTTTAATAATCATACCTGAGAGACTTTTATTGTTTTTAGGTGGATGAGCCTGTGTCGAGTGGTATTCTCGCTTGGTCTTGGGTAAGCTTCCTGTGAAGATAGGCCTTGCGATGACGTAGTTTGTGACGATGATGGTCTGTCATGAAAGTGACTCGCATTAGTTCCCTACTCGACAATATTTTGACAAAAGTTTTGAAAAAGACAATCATGGTGGGCAAGGTTAAAATGGAGGGAGATAATTCGAGAGACTTGAGTCCCTCATATAAGAAACGTTGAACATCGAAATTACCCAGAGAAGACAGATATATTTTTCCTTGGCCCCTGAGGAGACAGATATAGCTTTCCTGTTCCGAGATGTTTTCCCTGCCTCCCTAAAAGACAGGGATATCTTCCCTGGCCCCCTGAGGAGTCAAATATAACTTCCATGTTCCCCTGAAACACCAAATACTCTTCGCCTCTCTACTTAATTTCTCTTTGTCAAATTCACGAATTATGTACCATAACTCATCATTCTTTTCCAGAGGTTGTAAGCTTTAAAATGATTTACCTGCGTGTTGCTTCCTAGACACGAGTACAATCTCCTTTGTTATCAAAAGGGTTACTATAGTATACTTGATATATACTCGCTTATATAAAAGTCCATGCATACATTGGTATTGATATTGGGTCTTCTGCTTTCATCTCGGTATAATGTTGTTCACATGTGAGTAAGAGATAATAAACTTTCAAATAAAATGTTAAAAGCCTGTACTCCTCCAAAGCAGCATTGTGCCTTTGCGATATTGATTCTTGCTCCAACTGCATTCGAAGCTTAATCAGTTCTATCTGCGCTTGTTCGAAATAAATCCTGGTCCTCGAGCATTCATCTTCCGCCCTCATCCTCTTCATTTTCTCCTCCTCCAGCTCTTCCAAAGCCCTTTATAGAAATAAATTTATGGTGAACATACTTCAGCAGCACTGTCTGAAGATCCCCTATTATCCACATTGTAACTATTTGCTTGAAAGCAGGTGCAAATGGATTTTAAAGTCAGTGAAAGCGTCTGCTTGGTTGCTTTAGTTTTTTAGCATGCAAAGAGTGCAGAATAATTCTTGTATATATATACCAGGGTATTTGAGATGTTACCAAAAATAAACCTAATAGGAAAGATTGAATTTTGAGACTTGGAGTTACAGTTTAAAAAAAACTTGTTCTGTAGATCAAGAAAAGCTTATATAATGCAACAAAAGGCACAGTAAAGCAACTGATGTAAAACAGACTTGGTGTAAAACAGAACGATTATTCTTGAGGAAGTGTCCAGGACAACTGCACGTAAGAGCTTAGAAGTTAAAGGGATTTGGGTTTTTAAAGGAAATATCATACAAATCATGGTCTTTTATAACTAGTGACATTAAGCTTGTTAAAACCCACAGAATGTAAATGGAGTGTCTTTGTGTAGCAGGGAAAAGGCCTGAAGAAGAGGAAGGCTTAAAGTTTTCCTTTATAATTATAAAATGGAAAAGCAGACCTATTTTCTTCAATGTTAATAAAGCCAAAGGAATTGTCACAAGTACATTTAAACTTTCAAGTACAAAGGAGAAATTTTATTATCATATGCAAATACACTAAATAGATAAAAAACAATACGATTTATTGATAGGTAGCAAAGAAGTGGTACGACGATAAGTTGGCCAATTGGAAAGAATTCAATCATTCAGAATGAGCATCTTGATAGATTTTTAAATTATGAGCCTCTTGACAAGATAGAACTACAATTTTTAGATACTTTGAAGATATGAACTACATGGCTCAGCCCAGCAGGCCTTCCTGGGAATAAATTGGATTCAGTTCCCAGCAATTCCTCTTGCCACCAACCATTGTGGCAGTCTTGACAAATTTTAATATTTTGGCCCCAACTGTCAATCGTGTCTTATCGAAAGGGATATTAAAAAAGCTTTGAAAACGGCACAATTTAAAAATGGCACGATTTGAAAACGGCACGAAATGTTTCACAACAATACTACTGCAAATTTTCCTCTCTTTGAATCCAGAGTACTATCATTCTGTTTCCAAGTGTAACTCTTGGAAATTTCATGCCTTTGGCACAACCTGCCGTTTTTCAAATCTTTCCATTTTCATATGAAAACGATCTACATGGAATAATTTGTGGAAGAACGGGACATCCTCGTCGGACGAATCTGCCAGGTTGCGTAAACCCTTCTTGGGAGGGTTGTTTAGCCTTGCGTTGGGCTCCGCATATGCTGGATACTGAAATCAGTGGCGTACAGAAAACAAGCTTCCCAGAAAACTGTAGCTTCTTCGAATGATCAATGCCTGATGATCAGGTATTTCGCACACAACTTGCACCAAATTTTTTTTACATATTGCTTATTGTCATGGGCTTAAATAGTATAGCCTTAAATGTCATCGTTGTCCCATTTCAGGAATGTGGCAAGCTCCTTTGTGACCCCTTTACTTTTTTTGCTGAAGACACCAAATTTACGAGTGTAGATCAGAATAAATACGGCACAAATCTAAACTGGAAGCCTTTTGTTTAATCTTATCGAAGTTTATCTTTCGAAAATGGTATTTTAGAAATATGTGCATGCTAACACTGGGCTAGAAGATGATTGCAAATTGTTGTATAATAATGGTTTCCGCAGCCTTAGACGTAAGAATGAAATTTATCGGAGTCATTTGGTCTGTGTCTGATTGCTTCCAAGTGTCGTCACAACAGCTCTTCAAAATGATTACGGTGACCCAGTACCACAGAATAGTCATTTCTATTCTGTGCCAGCACGGTGGGCAAGACTGGTAATACACATCAAAATAAAACACACATAACAATTTCTTGTTGTTTTGTTACCTTCTTAGTTTCCAGTGCTTTGGTTAAAACACAAACGAATGATTACAAAAATAGGCATGCGATTAAACACTTCTCGGTGTAGGGAGGGGTGTTCCAGCGCGTGTGAGTGCGATCGCACGCCTTTCCCTGGAAGGCCTGGCCCAGCATTTTATTGTGATGCTAAACTAGCTGAATATATTTCTGCATAAAAAGGCGATCTGAGAAAAAGGCTCCAAAACAAGTTTTGAGAAGAGGCAGAAAAACAAGTTGTTGATAGATGTATCTAAGTCATCAGGTTAGCGGGAGAAATCCATGTTGCTAATGTTTAGTCTTGGTTCTTGGGGGGGGGGCAATACATTTATAAAACAAAATTTAGCACCTTTTTGGCATTACTATTCTGAATTGCCTTGTAAATATCATTAATAGGCTCACTCCATCTTAAGCAACAAGAAGATTGCATTAAACAGGATATAGACCAATTGCATTCATTTGAGAAAACGCAGTATCATACCTGTCCCGCTCTGATGTATCAGTGGCTTTTAGAGCCTTGCAGTAGATATTTCGAATGTCTTCCCTCTTGGCTGGACAATTACACTGTGGGCACTTCCTTGTCTTTTTTTTACCTTTAAGCCATCTCTCTATACAACTGGAATTAAAATCAGTTTTTTTTAATAAAGATAAAAAAGTACAAAAACAGATCATTTTGAATGACATCTGGGAATAAGCTTTTCTCTTGTCATTCTTTTTTCATCATTCTACCAAACATGGAAAATCTGAGCATTTAACAAAAATTGTTTTTGATTGTAGTTCTGCTTCTTTTGCCTTGCCATAAAAAGATTATGAGGGTTGTTCATGACTTTGCATTCCCTTTCAGTACAAAGTCTTTTTCAAAGTTCAGATGTGTTTTCTAGTTCAAAGCTCCTTTTTATACTTTATTACAAGACATTACAAGATAGAGTAGTAAATGAGAATAGCATAGGAACTGATTAATAAATAGATATTGATGGAAAGACTTCAACAAATATTCAATAAACAAGGTGAATAGACATACCTTTTACCAAATAAATGACCACATTTTAATGAAACAAGTCTGTGAGATCCAGAGTTGGTCCATGGCTCAAAACATACAGGACAGCCTTGTTCCTGAGGTGCAACCATAATCCATACAGTTAAAAAATAGACAAACCAAAATCTCAGCCAAGGGTTCTTAAAATGAAGTTTCTTTTACGTAGGTTTTACTCAAATAGGAAATATATTTACAAATTTATTTTAGGTGGCTTTAGAGTAGTTGCAATCTTTCAGGAACTTAGAAATCAAAACCTATTAACTAAAATCAGGCCATTGTTATTGCAAGAAATTATGTGACAGAAATGACAAAAATCATGTGGACAGTCTGTCATCCTTGTGGACAGTTCTTCTTGAAAAGGCCCATAGATAACAAAAAAGTTGTAAACAAGTTAGACAAAGAAATTTTCCGCCTTCAAGAGGATTGCTTGGATTGAGAAAATAGCTATCAAAATTTTTATGCTCTATTTCACAAGTGCATAAGGTAGGACATGTACTAAAAATTTACCTCTGCATCACTTTCAGGGCCATTATCAAAATCCTCTACTTCGTCTTTGGGTTTAGATTCCCCATTCTGTGGAGTAACTTTTTGTTCATCAATTTCTTCATCATCTCTGATAATTACAACATCATTAGTGTTTTCCTCAATGCCAGGCATTACACCTTCATTTGGGTCATCTGACAGCAAGATAAGAAACAATTAAGAATTAGAGCATGCATAGATATAAACTGGTTTGTTTAGTCAAGCCAGACACCAAAGTTTGGGTTTGTGCCAAGGAACAAGTCAAGCATTAATTATTAACAAAATACAAGAAAAGAATTGTTGATGAAATAATCAGTTCCGTATTCAAATAAATTTTCCATGTTCTAAACATGTTTGTCTTATACCTGAAAAACAAAAGGATTTGAGAGAATAGAGCACAGGCCCTGCCGATCATTAAAAAAAGTGGTAGCTAAAAACGAATAAAAAGAGGCTTGAAGGGTGATTCCTTTGGTTAATTTTTTGCATTTCTGGCAAGAAGTGGCAACTAAAGCCCCAGCCCCCTTTTTTGCAGTCCCTTGTATAGCAATAAGCCACCCAGTTATTAAAAGAGGTTGCACTTTGCTATTGGTGAAACCAGGGTGCATTCCATGTACTTAGGCCCGAAGATCTTTGGTGTACAATCAGGTTTTTTTGGCGTGCGGCATATAAACCAATCAAAATTTTTTTGGCATACTTAAAATTTTTGTTAGTTGGCATGCTAAACATAAAGCCATGTACATAGGTAACATAGAATAAAGACTCATACACCACAGTTTTCTCTAATAATCAGTTTTCTTGTCTGGTGCAACAATGTTTACAGTTTTACTAACTCAACTGCTTTTATATTTTTGGCATACCTAAACAAATGCCCCGGTGGACCTTCAGCGTACAGTTGACATGGACTGCACCTTGGTGGTGAAGATTTGAAATTATTTGAAAAGTGTACAAAAATCACTGATTTCCTTCACCCTTATTTTTACTCAATAGACAGCAAAGCAAAAGAAATGTTTTACCGCAAAGATTTTCTTTTGTAATATTTTTGTATAACAAATAAGCAAACGATTTTAATCTTGAGTAAATGCTCCAGATTGGTTGTATAGCCTTTAGGAGTTAACGATTGAAGATCTGTGATGTTCCCGCGCAAAAGCATAAGTAGCAGAATCGTTCCCCGCGCAGAAAAAATACTTTGCAGTCTTTCAGCGAAACTACTCGCATCATTATATATATATGACGGTTTAATAATTACGTGTTTTAATGGAAGATGAGTTTGATAAGAAAGACATTTTAAAAAATTTAAAAAAAATGTTTACCAGCATCGACCGTCTGCCTTATTTCACCACCAGCGCCATCTTCTTCGTCAATTTCCATGGAATCGTACCTTGCTGGCCCCTAGACGGCCTAACCAAAACAGATCAATGAACGATTTTGCAGTTGCTGCACTATCTTATACAAATATTGAAAATAATGGCAGGTTAATATTTAGATCTTTCGATTATTGTTACATTTGACTTCAAATTTATGCAGCCCCAGCATGGACACACAACATTCACATTGGCGCGTCAATATATCGTTGTTGTTGTTAATGGGCTCCTTCGCAGTTAACAAGTCATTTGCACTGGTCATTTGTCCCTACATGGAAAATAATGGGATACACCTTATGTTCACAACTTCTAAGCGGTGCAAAATTTGATATTGGATTTGGAAAAAGCAAGCAATTTAGAGCGTGCTAAAAAGTTTTCATCTGACACTTCTTAGAGAATAAAACCCCTAGTGGTGGATCGAAACAGGCCAAGCATGTTTTTTATACTTATAATGGGATGTGCGTCCTACAAAGCTAAAATCACACTGGCATATGAATTCATAAAGGGGGGTCATCAAGGAGGTACAAATCCACCGTTTTGCGCAATTTATTGCGCAGTCTCTCCGTTCCGGTCATTTGAGTGAAAATTACGCGTCCCAAAATTGTTGACCAGAAAAACCTAGCCTGCTACAAAAAAAAAAGGATTTGACTAGTTATTTTTTCAAGACAACATGTTAAGAATTCTGCAAACATTATAAAAATCTCGTATTCCGCGCACCATTTTCAAGAAGCTCCGCATCCGGCAAGTGTGGAGAATCCCATCGTTCTGTCGAGAAATTACCAAACGTCCGTAATCCTGGACCAAACTTCTTAAAGTTCTGTTCCACTAATGCTGTTCCACTAACCCTGATTAGCCCCATAAAGAGTGATTGTTTGAATGCGACTTTGCTTGCCAAAAAATTTCAAAATTACAACTCTTGAACATATAGTTTTTGCGAAACATGGAGCCTTATGTGAATGCTTATGTAAAGTCAAAGCGCATTTTATTTGGGCTGCGCTCTTACCAGGACCGTCTTTTCCTGGTGCAAAATTGTTAACATCATAGAAGGGGGAAAATTCTTGGGGTATTCCTATTGCTAACATTAAGTGATTTATAATTTGCGTTCAACGAAAAAAGCTGCTTTTTACGGCCTTCCGCTTGTATTTGTCGACAATACGCACATAACTTGAAGCAACTTCGTTCCTTTCTTTAAGGCGAGTGCAATGAAAGAATTTCTAGACAGCCAATCCAGGAATTAGAAGACGGAATTAAGAATGATAAACCAAGAAAAACTATTTCTACACTATGGTACAATTGGGAAAATACAAACGTTGAAATTATACATTGCTTATTTTTTCTATAATACATATCAATTTTGCTTCAATTTCCTACTTTTTGCAAGAAATAATTTGTGCGAGAAAATATGAAGCTGTTCATTTTGTCGAATATTTCTTTTAAACAATGCATTTAGATGGCATTGAATATATGTTTGAGAAGAAGTTTTAAAATTGCTCAATACTGCCAGTTTGAAAGTTTGGAAAATCAGATCCTTCTGTGCCAGAATTTGAAAAGAATCCGCTGAAAATCTGCGTCAAACTTGAAGGAGAATCTAGAGCTTCCTAAGCATTCTGCATTCAAAATGTAAAAATGGGTGTGATCAGCATGAGTTGCTATCATAAGTAGGAATTATCACATTTTATGCAAACATTAACACCTATACCGGAGTTAGTTTGTAGATACTAAAAGCTTAGTTATCTCGGTCTTTTTTACTAGCATTAGATTCATATTTTCTTACTGACCAACAAAGTCAAGCTCCTTTCAGCAATGTAATCATATTCAAAACAAGCACATTACATTCTAATGAAAGAATTGTCCCTTGTTTTAAGACCAAGTGCATATTCTGTCCATTTCATGGCAATCTATGCTCCTGTATCCATTGCTGGAACGATGTTTTATCCATGCGAATCTTGTATGAAGGTTGCAGGTTTTTCGTGCTTCCAAACTCCTCATACCTGATCTTGTCCCTGTCAGTTTTTCTATCAAAGTCCACTGAATCAGAAGATTCTGTCTCTTCTCCTGACTCATCTGCGCTTTCGCTATCCTCCTTATCAGGTGATTCCTCCTCCACTTTCTCTGCCCATGCCTGAAAATGCTTTTTGGATGGTTTATTACAAGCAATTCTGGCACGATTTAACAGAAATGGCGTAGACGGTCGGTTTTTCGATGGCGGTGACTGGGGCGGAGATGGCACCTTAACGCTGTCAGATTTAAAGAAGCTCATGTTTGGACAACTATTTGATGCATGCAATGGTGCTCTTTTCAACACAGGACTTGCAATGCCAACATCTTGTTTGATGCTTGCTCTAGATGATAGAAGCTTATTTCCAGTTTTCTCTCTCTGAAACAAGGTTTTGCTATCGTTCCTTTTGACAAAAGGAGTGCTGCATCTTCGCATACCAGGCAACTTGCTTATAATGGGTCCAGGTTCGCTATCAACTTCTTCATGCAAAAATCCCTCCGGTTCTTGACTTGGTGATGCCGGTAACGGTGTCGGCAAATGGCTTTCAATTAGGCTTGGCAGCGAAAACCTCGCCACAGAGTCTTCGTTTATTTGAGTAAGAGGCATCTTGATGTCTTGTCCATTTCTTATTTTTGGTAACTGGTTTGTTCCACAAGGAAACTTTGGAACCGGTGGCTCCACATTTCGAAGCGTCGACACCTTGCACATCTTCGACACCCTTTCTTGCGTTGAACAAATCGCAACTAACCGTTTCGCAATCAAACTCCGTTCTTTTGTCCGATAAATGAACGCTATCAGGCGCACGTCTGTATAACAGACCTGCTTTGAGGTTAAATAACTTCAGAGATTTTCACGCAGCTTTGTCTGGTGCCGAAACAAAAGCCCCTTTATAAAAAAACAACGACGAAGACCAGGGAGCATGAAATTTGCGTCAAAGCCAATTGCCCAAAAAGATCCCTGATAGAGGGTTTTTAAGAACCAAAGCAGTGCATATTCAATGCTATACTTCAGAATCTAAATGCATGTTCGGTCCTAAACAAGAAAGCATTAATCCATTCAAATGGTGCACTATGGGGATCTGACTATTCAAGTTTGTTTGATAGAAGTTGCCATAGATATTTCTAAGCCGTGTCTTTGTTTTTTAGAGATCTAATTAATCAAATCAAATTCTACACTTTATGTATACAACTTTATATAGATAAAGCCACTAATGAAAGAATCAAATATATATATATATACAACTTCATTATGAGACTGTTCCTTTATTTTTTGCTATGAAAACATTACATAATTGGTTTCAAGTTACATTTTTTTTGGAGATTACATCAAACCTCCATAGGAGCAACTGTCACGTTTCTTGTCGATGGCCACTGTGTCCTTCAAGATTTCCTACGAATATTTTTTGGGAATATTCCCATTTCTTTGCTTCTTATTCTTATCACCCATACCATTGTTTGACAAAGACATGTTGATTTATCTACTGACACTAATTCTATATTAACCTCGTTGCCCAGAAGTCACCTTTTACCAAGAATTCCCGACTTGCGTCATCGTCCTATTGGATAATCTGATGTTTGTGTTCCTTACGTCGTGGGTGTTTGTCGTGTGTGACCTTATGTCTTGCGTTTGGCAACCCTCTAGGACGGGAGGTCTGGGGCAGAAGGCGATACTATGTTATGTTGCTTTTCTTATAAAAAGACTCAAAATATTTCATTTTAACTCTTTGGAGTATCTTCTTAAGGAGCTTTTAGCATTTCCTAAGTCCGGAGCGTTATACTTGAAAAGGTTTAGAATATCCCCTCCCAATTTAAGGATTACACCACAGCAGATTTTGAAAAGACACCCGAGAGTTATTTGCAATATCAAGAATAAACAACTGTTATACTAACAATTTCATGTGAAGATGTGACGTATTCAGGTAGAAAAGAATTTTTTTAACAATGGGCCTAGGTTGCCGATGACGAGAACACGCAACTGAATGTTGATCCAATATTCAGCTCACGCGAAAGGAAAGAAAGGATTTGTTTTCGTAGGTTGTACACGCAGGGTTTGAAAGATAAACAAAGAGCCGTATTTTCAAAATGTCTTATTACATAATAAATATTAGTATATGAATTATATACAACAAATGACTTCCGATTTAATGGAAATCGATAAACATTAGCAACAAAGACTTGAAAGTAGGTTTCAATGCAAGATTTGTTATGCAAGGCTCAAACCAAGTGGGCTTCCTTCACTTCATGGAAGACTGTCAATTGAATAATATATTCGTTTTAAGAAGTTGTGGAGCTTAGATGCGTTTTAAAGATGTAATTTAAAACTGGAACTCTGATTATCCTTTTTAACCTAATTCCCCACTTGAGAAATATTGATTAGTACTTTAAAGAAACATGATATTTGAAAATCTTGTGTCTAATGTCGATTCTTATGCCACTTCTGAAATGATCTTGCTTGGATGAATGTTTGGAATCTGGCCTTGCAAGCAACAGCAAATGCCTTTAAAAAAAGACTATAGAACTTTTCAGTTTATTTGCAAAAGTCAGTACTTTTGAGATTAAACAGAGTAGCAAGCTCAGCTCCGTATTGAGATCTACCTCTGCAAATGATGCATTTACTTCTTACTTGCCTTCTGAAACCAGCTAAAGTTGAAACGTTCTTTTCTAGGAAAAGGTTTGATGTGCATTTTTTGCACTTCAATAGAATTTAATTTTATGTCGGCACGGGTATGACGTTGCTTGTTATGAAGTGGATGTAATCCGGGATGGGCGTGTCCTCTTAAAATTGACAGAAAAATTCTGCTTTGTCGTACAAGGGTAAAGCAACCGTTATCTTGTTAATGCTGCTTTCTCTCTCCAGAATCAGATAAAGAGCTTGATTATGGAATGGTGCTTTCAAGAAATGCGCAGAGCTTTGAGTTCTCGTGGGGCGTGGCGGTCTCATAGCACTCCTACAATATGTAAGAATACAAGCTACATAGAGCTCCCAAGAGTCTCGTTTCCTTCTGACTGCACAGCCACTCATTGTTAACTAAGTGCAAAACAATCGCTCGTGCTTCAGTTCTGATAGATGGTGCAAGATTTCTTTTGCAAAGCTCTGGCTTGTTCTTATTGACAGTTTTTCTTGGAAGATACGGTTGAATCCCTGAAAAAAAGATAAATTACACGTTGATTCTTGCATGAAAGTATTGCTATTTCCTTCTTCATTTTGTGTAAATGCTGTAATAAAACTCAAATACAAATGTCTTTTCTAGAAAAGGAAAGCAAAGCTATTTTGAACTTGGAAATATTAATCAATATGATTGCTTTTTTTGAACTTATATCAATTTTTGTCATTTCAAAGAGTTTGATGTTAACATTAGTTTGATACAGTAGAATCCCGTTATAACGTACTCGGTTATTACGTACTTTCGGATATAACGTACTGGTGTGCAAGGTCCCGGCAAAAGGTGTGCTTGGTTTTA